AGAGATGATAATCGAGCGAAGAAACTTAGAATACGTATATGTCTATGGGTTTGAAGACTTATTCTTCCCAGTTCAGCGTAAACGGCATCGGTAGTGGTACTAGGTCGAACACCCAAAGCATATTTACAGGCTTTTAGATGAAGAGTTTCTAGCTTAGACCATTCTTCAAAACCCCATATTTCTGATGCATAATTTAGAATAGGAACAATCGTATGATCAAATAGATAGAGAAAAAGACGTGGCTGAAAACCGCCCCATTCTTTGCTTTTAGCTATAAGGGAAAAATAGGCCTTATGAGCTTTCTCTTTCATTCTAACGATGTGTTCTGAGAAAGACCCGTTCGATTTTAACATTACACCTAAATATTTATATGAGACACATTCGTTAACTTCTTTATCGCCAATCTTCCAAGTTTTATTTTTTGTAGATTTAGCACGGGATTTCTGTTTTTGAATTATCATGACTCTAGTTTTGTCCATGTTCACGTCCATTTTTAGAGATTTTGAAAATTTGTCTAATGCATTCAATTGAGACTGAAGGTCTTTTCTATCTTTGGCTATTAAGACAAGATCGTCGGCATATAAAAGTGAGTGGACAGGTATATCATCCACCATTACCCCCTGTGAAGATGCTCTAATGTGGCGGTTTAAATCGTTCAAATATAAAGCGAATAGGACAGGACTAAGAAGGCACCCTTGCCTCACACCTCTACTGCATGGAAAAATATTTGTAAGGCTATCTTTACCTCTCACGCACGATTTAACTTTATCATAAAGTGATGTGATAACTTTTAGGAAATTACCCTTTATTCCATATGTAACAAGCTGCTGTAACAGCAGCTTATGGTACACAGAATCGAAAGCTTTTTTGATCTGAAGAAGATAATGTCATAGCGGAACTGACCAGCAAAATGAAAAAAGTTCAGATCTCAGAAAAGAGATCCCTCCTCCCTCAAGTTTTCAATCCAGTTTTGAAATAATTAGAAAATCGACCTTAAAAAGTAGAGTGGATATGTCCACCCCAGTCCACCCCGTGGCGCTGCCCCTGGAGGAGGAAATAAAATTTTCAACAACTTTGTTAGGACGCTGTTGGACTTTTTTAATGAGTCGAGCTGCTATATATGTGACCGGAGAGCAGCTAATCACTTGACCTTTCAAAGCATTATTTGCATGGTTCTTTGCACAGTTTTCTACCTGGCTGGCTAGATGAAAAATATGAGAATAACAACTTTTACCTTTTTTAAGGATAAATACAGGTCATTATACCAAAGAGATATAAAAACTATTTGTGCCTTTTGATTTGGCTGTCAAGCAAATTCAGTAATTAAATATCAAAACTACTGCAAAATAACAGGAATAATCACAAAACAAAACATTTATCAAATACATCAAGTAATACAAATATGTTAATACATTACGCTTAAGTTGGATCAATGCTGAATAAGTTTCAGTGTAAAAATCTCTTTTTTATAATAAAATATAGGGTTAACAATTTACCTCTTTTAAGTTTTACATCTACAGCGTTACGTTATTGTTAACAGTATTTGGAAAATATATTTTGTATGGTATTGCTATTAAAATTAAATCGAAAATTTTAAATTATTTTCCATAACTGTCACTAAGGACAAGCCTAATCGTACTAAGAATGAATTGAAATTTTATTCGCTTTCGGAACTTTCTTTCCTTTTACAAACAATGACAAGAAAAAGATAAGCTTAATATAGAAAACAACATTCGTACCATTTGTTATCGGATGGTACCGTAAAAAAACTCGATAGAAATAAATTAAAATAAAAAAACACTAGAACAAGAAGTAACTAAAAGACCTTGCCGACAGGGCCTATAATTTAGAAGAAATTTTTTGAAGATGCTTTAGGGTAGTCAACTTCAGCTTGAAAGATCCATCTTTTATGCATTCAAAGTCATTCAAATCCAGTACAGCGCGCTTGTTGTTGTCGACAACTACATTTGTTTCAAAGATTGAACGAATCTGGGGAAGCACTATAAAGGTACGATCCTCTTCAGACTGAATCAACCATCTACCTGAAATGGTTCCGTCAGTCTTAACTTTTCCATTGCACTGGAAAAGCCAAAACTGGTAATCTTTTTCATCAACATCACCTTCGAAGTCATCCTTGCTGGCATAAACCGGTACAATGTCATCTTTTTTCACAAAAGAAATTTTTTTTCCCCTTTTCGCCTTCTTCTTCTCTGGTTCATCGTCTTCATCTCCATTGTCATTTCTTACAGTGCAGTTTATACCTCGTAGCGACGCTGCTGGGGGAATAGCTGGTTGGCATTCCAAATCCTCTTTTATTATAAATTTGATGCCCTCCTTACATCCCATCAAGATTTCAAGCTGTTTTTGGCCCATTCTTGCAGGAGACTTGAAAGGAATAACCTCTGGCCATCCTTCAACATCAAAAGCTTTCTTGAAATGTTTGTAAGGTACCCTTCGAGGCACACCTGCCGCTATACCTACAAACAAAAACGGTACCAGATGATGGAGAAATTGAATTTCTGTAAAATAATTAAATTTTGGTGACCTTGGCACTAGTTCTGTATTGTATCTAACCACCTTTAAAGCTTCTTCTTCTTTTAACATGATGCATTTTAGCTTTTAACCATTAATTTTTATGATAAGTCTTATGGGCTGAGAAAACGTATGTGGGGCACGAAAAAATGTATGAAGTTAGGTATTTTCTCATGTTTATATCTTTAGATGCCATCACCCTCTTTATGATCAAACTAGTCTGTGTTTAATTTGCTTGAGAATGCAAAAAACCTTTCTATGTTTATCTATGTATTGTTACAAAAGAAGAAAAATCCTAAGATTACAACAAAAAGCAGAGCCAAGCAAGGCAGGTACCCATATTTAACATAAAAAATATTGTTTATAAATCATGGGGGTAGATAGGATTTTGACATCAGGGAGGGGGCCAAAACCTTTTTATAAACATATAGAAATGACAATTAACCATCAAGAATATAGTACAGAGGTAATGTACAAACATGTACAAACCAACACAGTCATGGGAGAGATGGGTCAAGCTGCAACATGTGCTCATTTTCAGTGCTCAGTACATCGCAATTTACACACTACAAATATTTTTGTGCCTCGATCTGCAAATGTTTTGGTTTGGGGACCTCTAGGATATTAGGGGGGCCCAGGCCCTCCCTCTGCCTCCATCTTACAACCCCCAATATATAAATATTTAATTTTAAATAATCATTATACAATATTTAAAATGATTACAAATACTTACTATATTTCTTGTTAAGAAAAAGGCGAGCTTCAATTTGTGATGGTGGTGCCACAACTGGAGTATCTATAACGCAAATAGTTTTTATTTTTTAACAACTCATCATTGAAGAACTCAACAAGACCTATGTTTTTCCATTAAAGAAAAACAAGAGTAACAGATATGTTCTTAGTATCACTCTCATAAGTATTCACTAGAAGTATAAAATTTCCATAGCCTTAATTGACTCAAATAATAACATCACTATTATATTCATAGCTATCCAAAAACTAAGTTTATAATACATACTGCAATATTCTGAAAATCTCCTACTAAGCTGACGCTCATTAACAATAAATTCTTCTCCATTTGCTGTCGAAGCTGACAGAATCTTTCCATTTGGTTTCATCACTAATGAAAAGCCAGTGCATCCAAATTGTTCCATATACTGCATCTACGAGGATAAATAATTTGAGCCATTGGGGATAAATAATTTGAGCCATTGGTGTATGAATAGCTATGACTGGCACTTTTTGTAAATAAGATATTAAACAAATATAACTTTCAATTTGAAACCTAAATTTAACTTCAAATAAATATAATTTGGCTTCTTACTCAACATCATCCCCTTCAAAATTCGGTACACAGAATGAACTAAAAAAATTAACTATGTTCCATGTATACTCGACTCCTGAATTGACAGGCTTTGAAATATATGTGACAGGGTATGTGGAATACTTTAGATAAACAATTGTCTATCTTTTTGATATACACATATACATTATTTATAAACACCCTGAAACAGAGCAGTAAGTAGGGAAGTGAGGAAAACAGTGCAGGTGAAAAAAATCTCTTCCAAATTTGTTTTCAGGGTTTGTGCTAGCATAGCTCACAATTCCAGTTAAGGCCAGTTTTAAAAAATTTTTTGCTTTCCCATGCTCTCTTTCAAAAAAAATATTCAGCTCTTTATTAATGTTTTCATGTTTTTAGTACACAAGGCCAAAAAATATCATTGCAGCAATAAGGATTTCATGGTGTATTTTTTCAGAAAAACAATAAGCCAGAGGGAGAGGTTTAGGTGTTCATTTCAAACATGAAAGTAATTATTAGCATTCCTGAGTTCTTGTATATTCTGGGCTCTGTACATTACTTTCTGTTTCACACCAACATTTAAATCATTTTAAATATTGAAAGTATAAGCTGATAATCGAGAAACATAGAATTGAATTTATAAACTGATATGCGAAAAATAAACCTCTTTTAGAATCCTCTTCATTGAGCTGTTCACTGACTTTTCTATGTCATCTGAAGACATGTCTTTTATGTTTGTCAAGTTGAAATTTTCTGCCTCCACCTCCAGTTTTTTCTTATCCTCCTCTTTTAACGTCTTGTAAAGTTCTTGTGCCCTTTTACTTTTCTCTTCTTTTGGAACATCTTTAAGTTCTGAAAGATTTCATTAAACCTTTTTCAACAGGCTGTCATAAGATGTTTTATACAGCTAGGTATACTGCATTCCACTATGCTATACCTTGTACCATGTTAACCATGTGTTGACATGAATTTTACAACCACACCTGGGAATGTTACTGGATGGCAAAAAGGGCTCAAATCAAATGATGAAAACTGCTGTCTTGTTTTCTAATCAAAAGAAGTCTAATTTGCAATTCTTTAAGTTAATGCATCAGATTGGACGACATTTTATCTTATCATAAGGGGAGTTTAAAACCACTTTATGCAGCATAATTGGGAAGAGGTATAGCAAAACATGACAAAATGTGACACTTTTTAAAGAGACGGGTCATTTATTTTTTCAAAAGGTCAAGCTTTTAACAGTTTGTTAGTCTGTGGAGTGAACAGTAGAAATGTGGTTTTTCAGAAGGTATACCTGGCATCAGATGTTTATCTCGTGGCTAGTCATGTAGGAAATCAGGCAATTTGATGATTTATATCCCTGTTGCTAGTTTTAAACTTATATAGCCTATAACAATGATTTACATTGGTAACCTAGCTAATACAAAATGGGGTGGCTAAAATAGAGCCAAAAACACAGTTACAAGGGCTTTGATGTATGTCTTTTCTATCTGGATGGCAATAGATATTCAGGTATCCTAAATCATTGGAAGAAATTACAGGAACCCAAAGTTTGAGGATTTGAAGAAGCTTGCTAACAAAAGTCTTACATTTGATAGGGAAAAGCCATATAAATATAGCTAGTTTGTTAAAAATGCAGAGACCCTTTGCAAAAATGAAAAACCATAAGAAACTTGCTTTAATGAACACTATATTTTATTTCTAATTTTTTACTTTTATGACTATAAATACAAGAAAAATCTTGACCAACAGTAATCGCCAGTCGCAAGAGGGGGAACGTCTAGAAAGAGGGCTTTTAAATGCAGCAAGGCTTTGACGATCAAATGAAATTTAATCAGTTTCACACCAGGGGCTTTTGAGCTTGAACACCAGTATGTAATTGTTTGGTATTCGTTATGGTCTCTTGTGCCACGTTTTTCATATTTTCTTATTTTAATACAAGGGTGAGTTGTTTGATTACAGTGTTTTCATTTCTTTGGTTAAACTAGGAAAATGTTTACCTTGGTCAAACTTGGTTAATCTAATGTTTTGGCTAAGCATGGGTCTCACTTTGCATGGTGAAGCCTCAATACTGTTTATTTTCCAAGCCCTCCATTCCTCCGTCCGTTTTGTTTTTTACATGGAAGTCCCTTAAAAACACCTTCCTGTTAGAGGTTTGTGGTAGGTCCAATGCACCAACGGTCCAACTCACTCTCTTTTATGTGGTAACGTAGCCTCATGACTGACTTTGTATGGCCTTTTTCTGGGGGAGATTTTGCCCTTCATTTTATATTTATTATTTGTATTATATCATCAATATTGGTATTTGATTCCCGAGTTAAAAACTTAATTGAATATTTTAGCTAGCCTATAGGTTTTGGCTACAGATTTTCGTGTATCTTAAGGGACTAGGTGGTATAGATGATGGCTGACAAGTTAGCTTGTAAAAAAGCTTTAAAATAAATTAGAAACAATACGCGACACAAGTAAGGAAGCAGTAAGCAGGCTCGAGAGTTAGGTAGGCCCCTAGGCGTTCCATTCACATTCAAATATAAACATATCAACATACATACATACCTCCTTTAAAAGACTGGCTAAGAAAAACGTTCCAAGCACTTGTCTTCCGATAGCAAGGTGCTTTTTTCAAAGAATTTCTCTCGCCGTTAGCTTCGCCGTTTGATGACGAGAAAGTTGAGGTTTTAGGCCTGTCTTTCCTTTTCCGATTATTTATCCAAACTTTCAGCTTGGAGACCTCAATATTTGTTGCTTCAGACAAAAAAAGATATGCACTCGAATGCACAGCCATGTTGGTAGAATTAAGGCCCTCGACGTAGGCCTTTTCCATCATTTGTAGATTCTCCGGGGTAAAAGTTTCATTAGCCGCCATTACGCTGTTGATTAATGTTGACGCGGTTACCCTAGTTGCCGTCGGTCCAAAACAAAACTGCGGAGTGGTCGATCAATGCGACGATTAATCATACAATTCGCGCGCTTTTAAAGTGGGCGCTTGGGAGTACTCAGAGTTCATAGACTCGCCTTGATACAAACGGGATTAATCAAATGATTAACCTCGTTATGATCGATTGATCAGAGACGGAACGGGTGACCACAAAGCTTTTTCTCGGCTCTTTTCTCTCTACATAAACGATCTTACAAGTCAGCTTTTTACTTGTAAGTCTATGAATCTGCTGAAAGGCTTTATCCTTCTCTCTTTCAAAATCTCTTCCAAGTCTTGAAATACGTTGATCAACATGAAGCAAGACGGGCATCAAAGAGTGATTTTTTTCGTTACATCAAAATATGTTTGAATCCGGTGAGAGTCTGTTAGTAAACTGTTGCGCATCAAAGTCCTGGAACAATATCCCCCAAACAAACCCCCCTAAGGAGCAAAATTGAATCATCAACATAATTACAGCCATTCTCCACAGAATATTTTTCTGTTTTATTGTGAAAAGCTGCTTTTCAATATAGGTTCTACACACACCTTCAAGATACTGTAAAATTGACCTGTAGGTTTTAAGGAGCCATTCTCCTCCAAAGGTTAGTAATATGTCAACTTTTGAATAGTCTTCTCTCAAATAATTCTCATTCCACCCGTTAAAAAAATTTCATGAAACGTGAAGGCCTATTTGCAGATTAGCAGATTTTGATTTGATTCGTTTCCCTTTAAAGGTATCGATGTTTTTACACAACATTCAAGTGTAAGAACTAAGTGTCTACATTTTGGTGAAAAATTGCAAAGGCTGACGTCAAAATCCCAGACCCTGCTAAAACTGTTACCTTGGATCGGTAGCCAGTCTTTCAACAATAATTTAAGAAAATAAATCACTAGACAATATGAAATAACGTTAAGATATGATATCACCTATACAACTGCTCAAAGTCTTAATTTCTACTCTAGGATACTACTTGTTACATTATTTTACACCTTTAAACATTATTCCATGCTTTACATTATTTTAAACGTTATATGTACAACCTTTAACAAATTCGCAAGCACGATGGACTTGATTCATAACTAAGAAGACGAAAAAAAATGTCATGCAGAAAACATTGCATTAGATAAATGTTACGCTTTCGGAGAAAGTAGGTTTATTGGATTTAAAACAACGCTCTTGTTTTATGCCTCCACCACGTGAAGCCCAAAGACACAGCTACAAATTACAATTACTGATGATTGTAAACCACGAGTATCTTCAAACATTAATACCCCATTGTCAATTGAAACTGCTATTGAAGAAGGGAAAAGCATTTCGGATCTCTTACAAAGTACGAGGAAAATTTGCCTCCTTGCTTCTTTGCTTCTTCCAGGCATTCGTAGAGTCTTTTTGTCACACAGACATTACAGCCGGAGTTTTTCAAAAGAGGGGAGATATGGCTTGTTGTCTTAGCAATCTAAGTGAGTCTCAAGTTATCTTATTAACAATCAAATGGACTTCAGTTTCTAATTTTGCTTTTTCATGTACAAAAACTGAGAAACATTTTGACAAGGTTAGTAATTCTACTTTTACTACAAACAATAATGGATGGAACCTTATGGGACCGGCTCTCAATTACCGTTATCTATCAAATAACAGAATAGAAAATAAATGTACTGATTTAAAATCATTTTCTGCAAAAAGTGATACGACTTTGATACTATGCACTTAGCTTTGATTGGGGGAGGAGGTTAAGGGTAATTTAAGTTGGGCAGTGCACCAGAAAATGAGCAAATGGGCCGAAGCTTCTCTATAATTCAAATCTTGGGAATTTCATTGCAAGGGCACGTTTCCTTGTCAACACTGTGTCGAAGATGCATTAAATTCAATAAAGCTGACTTAATGAATAAGTGGAAATAAACTCAAATAAACTTGTTAAGCATTGTACAATATTGTACAATATTAATACTGTAAAATATTGTTAGAAGATGTTACATTAGTCTGTTGCTTTATGTAGTACAAAGTTTTTTCTTCCACTCTACTGTATCTTTGTTGGTTGGTCTTTGCCATAGCTGTAGTCGAAGCTTGTTAAGTTGGAGATGTTAGACATTTTTGCTGACAGCTTT